TGATCTGCTTGATATCCTGCCAATGAGCTCCTTTTTTTGGTTAAGTTAGTAAGCGTTTAGTAAAAATAGTTTAAGTTGTTTACAATGAAGAACCTATAATGACTATTTAGGTTCAAAGGGAAAAAAAAAAAAAAAAGCAGACACTCATCTCTTTGAGGCCCAGAAGGCATCTGGTAAAATTCAAGATCCATTTCTGATAATAACCTTTTCAGAAGTAGGAATAAATGGATACCACTTTAATGCAATAAATAATATATATCTCAAACCAAAAGAAGCATCATGCTTAATGGGGAAGCACTGGAAGCATTGCTATTAATGTCAGAAACAATGTAGGTTTTTCTACTCTCATTACTATTACTAAGAGAATTCTGGAAGGGCAATTAGACAGGAGAAAAAAAGATGAAGTGCAAATATTATAAAGGATGAGGTAAAGTTATTATCCCGTGCATTGATGTGAATTCTTGAAATCCCCAAGAGAATCAACTAAAAATGAGAACTTAAGTACTTCAAGATGGCTGGTTACAAAAATAATCATGTCCTATCGACAAACGACAGAAAACATAAGGCCTTAAAAATATCCCATTCATTATAGCAACAAATAGAAATAAACCCGTTGGAATAGGCAGGTCCTATGGAAGGAAACTATAGTACTCAGAGGAACTTTAAAAGCCTGTATGTAATTTTCAAAAAAACACTTTATTTTCAGATAAGATGAATATTATGAAGTCAGTTTTCCTTAAATTAATCCATGCTAACTAATCCCTCCAAAAGATTAAATTCATTGAAGAGAATAAGCAATCGGACAGCTAATAAAATACTACTAGGTACTTCTTTAGTAGGATTAAACATTTCAATACACTCTAAACCTTTATTATCTTGGAGTATAGGACATATCAATGGGATAGAACAAAAATTTTGAAAACCTTAAATGGGTGTGGAGTTTAGAAGGTGATAAAAGAGGTATTTAAAAAAAATTGCCAAGGGGATTGTATACTTGACAGAAAGAGACAAAGAGAGAGAGAATAAAAGAGAGAGACAGAGAGAGAGAAATCACTTCCCCATGGGGAATGATCATGTCACAATCCTTTTAGGAGCTTGGGTACTCATGAACATGCATCTGGTGTTTTTCAAGCTGCTAAATTCAGGACTTCAACTGCACAGTCAGTCATGTGAGATCCAGTAGTCTTAACCACAAGGCCACTGGCTGGCCCAACGAGGCATTATTATTTTTTTTTTATTTTAATTTTTTTGAGAGATTTTCACTAGAGGGCGCATGCACTCACCAGATAGACAGAGAGAGACAGAGACATAGAAAGCGAGAAATCACCCCCGGGGGGATGGCCATGCCTCAATCCCTTCTCCTCCATTCTCCTTTTAGGATCTTGGGCACGCACGCACACGCGCCTGGTGTTGAGTTTAAGCAACTGGGGCCAGGACTTGAACCATGGTCTACTGCATGGGAGTCCAGCGACATAGCCATTACTCTAACTGCTGGTCCCCCAAAGAGGCATTTTAAAACAGTGGAAAAGGTTAGATTATTTTATAAATGATGCTGAGACCATTGGCTAACTAGATAGGGTAAAGAAAAGGCAAAATACTTACCTCGTTTCTCAGACAAAAATAAATTCCAGATGGAAACAACATTAAAAGTAAGCAAACAACAAGACAAAACAAAACACCCTACAATAGTACTAAATGAAAACACAAATTAGTAGTTTTATGATCTTGGAGTGGGAAGTCTCTTTGTCTAAGCATATCAAAAGGAAAAACAAGCAGAAACCTTCATGGAAAAGACTGAGCCATTTGACTATATAAAGTGATTACAATTCTCTATATGATCTCCATGGTATCTCTATATGATATGTAAACATACTTGAAAGAGAAGTAACCAAAGGGAATGGTATAGACCAAGGTCTATACAAGTCATATATATAAAGGACTTTTGCCAGCCAACATTTACAAAAGAAATACGCCAAAAAGAAAAATGGGCAAATAATGTGTACAGCTAAATCCCTCCAGTAAATATATAAATTGCTAATGAAAAGGTATTACTAATCATTTTCTTGATTGCAAACAGCAGAAACTGATACCAGTTAGTTTCAGTTATAAAGGAATTTACAGGGAGCCTATCAGGTTAGCCTATAGAATAAACAGCCGGAGAAACAGGCTTGGGCAGAAACCCAGGGAGGCAGACACAGGTAAGAACTTGCCATAGAGCGGCCGGCTGGACACTTGCTGCCACCTTCCCTGGCACTGTACACCATGGTACTGCCACACTGCCGAGAATACAGCCACTAGATGCACTAATTTGCTGTGTTATCTCTAACAACCTTGTATCTGTGCTTCCAGAGTCCAGGTAGAAGTATCTGTTGGTCTTTCTTGGGTCATCTTCCTGGGCTCTACTTTTCAGTGGTGGAAGGGGAATAGTTATTCTCTACCTCCTACCTGGTTTTCAGAATGGGACTTTGAGTTACCCCACCTAATTTGGGATCCTCTATGGAAAGAAGTTGGTTTAGATGTTGGATAGCTGAAAGCAGCAGACATAATGTTCAGCTTCGCTCATACAAATAAAAGCATGTTAATATGTCATCTTTTTCACCAAATGTGTCGGTGTGAAAAAAAGATGGAAACACAGGGGCTGGCAGGTGGTGTGGTGGTTGAGGTGCTGAACTTCTACATGGCTGACCATATTTTGAGCCCTGGACCTGGTGGCTTTCTTACTTTCCCTTTCTCTCGCTCTCTCTCTCTGGTCAAATTAAAGAATAATAAAAAAGATAATAAAAAAATAAATCTTTTAAAAAAAGATGAAAACACTCTACACTATTTTGGGATTGGAAAATGTACACTCGCCATTGATTGTTGGCAAGATAAAGCCTTCCTAGAGGCTGACGACAGGTGTCAGATTTGAAATGTACATGCTCTTTGATCCATTTCAGTTGAAAGTTATTAACTGCAGGGATGGACAAAATATAGGTTATAATAAAATTCACTGCACTGCTGTCAGTGTGGGTGTAAGGACTGGATACAGAGAGGGCAAGTAAAAGATTTACTACAGAACGTTGTTCAGGGTGAATCTTAAGATTGGCTATCTGAGCACTCCAACTAGGGGGCCTGTTTGGGCCAACCTGAGATTGGACAGCTTTGGAGCCCTATGCGGACTAATAAGTTAAGAACGATGGAGAGGAAGATAAACTGGGAAAGGGGTTCTCATATGTCCCACCAAGATGTGGTTAAGGTACGCTGTTGCCAAATCCATCTGGTATATGATGCTACCGTACTGGGTATCCACTGAGGAGGATGGGTCTCTGATAGGTTGAATGCTACACTTTAGTGAAGAGGACAGGTTGTAAACTGAATCCTAATATGGTCAAGTTGGTGTCATGACTGAAAGGTGCCAAGAGAGCTTGCAGAAAGGACAGCTACTGGACAGGGCTGATACCTCAGGACAGACTTTAAGGATGAAGAGAAGTTAGCTAAGTGAAGTTCAAGGGAAGATGTTCCCAGCAGTGGGAACAGCTTGGGTAAAGGCCCTTGTCCAGATCAAATCCCTTGGGAGGCAAAAGTGCCTGAAGAGGTTGAGGGCCATTCCGTCCATCTTTCAGAATGAAGGATTACATGGCTTGCTTTCTCATGTCTAGATGAGCTCAAGGTACAATGAGGATTGGACATTTTTACCAAGCAGTGGTTTGGACCAGTGCAGAGCACCCCAGGGTGCCACCACAAGGGTCTTACCTACTAGGATGTGGGAGACCAGAGGCAAAAGTCACTTAAAACATAAGTGGCCTTTATGTTTTAAAAAGGTAAAGGGCTCTCCCTTCCCTGATTTCTCCTTACTGCAGTCACCAGGACTCATCTTAGCCTTGCTAACAGAGGAAAATGTACAGAGAAAAGGTCACAAAACAGTGGTTTTTCGAGCTGAAGGCAGCCCAGAGACGTAATGCTCTTTTTTCCCCCCTCTGCACTATTTTCTCTTTTTTAATTGAACCAACATTTAAAAATAGGATTTCCACCTTCTCTTAAAAAAAAAAAAAAATCAGATGATCTGGCAACACTGAAGCCCTCCTCATTTGAGAATGAGAACAACTGGCAGGATCTGGTGGCAGCCACTCATGTAGAAGGAGGTTGTTTTGCAGTTTGCCATAGTCCCCACCAAATCCTTATATTTTCCTCCACACTGAAAGCCAAGGCATTTGAAGTACTCCTAGGTCAACGAGATGATTGAAACACCAGGATTCTTCACTCATCGCTATGACCCATCTGGCCTGGCCCCTTGTTATCTGAGAGGTCAAGTCGAGGGGTTTTAAATCAAACCTGGGTTTGAGCTGGGTAACAACGTCATTAATCTCAACCGTGTTAAATTGAAGATTAAAGAAGATAATGCATGCTGGCATCATGTAGGAAACAGCAGCTGTTGTAAGCATCCAGTGAGTGTAAGTTGTGGGAGGGTACAGAAACCGGTTAGTCTCATTATAGTGTCTCCAGCGTGTAACACAGTGCCTGGCACAGAGCCTGTGCTCAGTAACTATTTGCTGAAAGGATGAATAAACGAAGGGAGAGCTCACTGGAGTTTTAAAGGCTGATCTGGAAAGGAAGGTAACACCACACCACTCGGACCCACAGACGCAGCCTGGAAGAGGATCTCGCCAGGACGAGCTAAGCTCTGCGAAGGCACTGGGGTTGGTGGGGTCCTGCCATGTCCCTCGGGAGGCAGGCGGGGCCGACTTGCTCAGGACCGGGTTATGTCCCCCAGCTCTTCCACGAGCCGGTTAAAGGCGTCATCCAGATGCTTGCGCATTGCCTAGGCTTCTGCCATCTGAGCGGCAAAGATTAGAGTCCTACCCAAGGAGTCCATCACCCGCAGCGACCGCAGCGTTCTCCTCCACGACTGGACCGTGCCCACACCAGACATGGCCTCTTTACGGCTTCACACGCCGAGACAGCGCCCGGACCCTCGAGTCACTGCATTCCGCCGGAGAGGAGACTCCGTTCCCAGAGTCAACATGGCGGCTGCAGCAGCTTCAGCGCTGGGAGGGCGGCGCCGGGGACCAGTCACGTGAGCGGCCCAGCTGGGCGGACCGCGCGCGCGCCCGCCC